GTACAACCACTATCTCCATCATCTCCCTGGAGGGCAAGCAAAAGAGGTGGGCCCGTTGTTGACTGTCTGTCCTTTAAAAGTGTAGATAAATTTATTTTACGCCGAAACAAAAAGTGCAGTTCAGTTTCCTGCATTACCTTAGGGCTGACACTGGATGAACTCACCATATTCAGCAAATTACACTCTTGTGTACATGTAATTCGTGCTTCTATCGCTCAGGTACCAAGCTGATGGGGAAAAGAGAGATCTCCTTTAGTTCGCAGCACGGAGGAGAACATTTCCAAGACATCTGCAAGAGCCAGCAGTGCCTCAGCTCACGCAGTGCATGGCCATCAAGCTGTCAGCACAGCATTAACACACTGGGAGCCTTTGGTTGGACATCTAACAAACTGCTCAATAAACTGCTGAAAACATTTTTAGAAATACAGCCGCTATCACAGAAACATCATTTTCCCTTGAAAATGCTCACGCTCTGCTTTCCAGTTCAGAGCTTCCATGAATTTAAAGGAATAGGGAGTGTTCCAGCTCCAAGTTCCCTATTAATGCAGTAGATATCACTAACTTCAGGATTTTTATGGCTGCTGTTAACTTAAAAGATTTAATTTACACCAAATCCACACTTAAAAGAGCTGAGAATCACTTCAAAAGCCTGCCAGACTAACCCTCACGCTGACCTGAGCTCACAAGCTTACGTAAGGAATAAAACTTCGGCACAGGACAAACAGCTTGGGCACTTTGTGACCACAGCACACACCAAAACAACCTCCTCCTATCTCACTCAGACCCAGGGGTTTTGCAGCACAAAGAGGTACAGGATCTAAAGCACAAGGCCGAGATGAAGCAAGGAATGGCACAGGACAGATCTGCAATCACAAACCTGCCCTCAGCCTTTTAGCACACACACAGCTGCCACATCTCCCTTCTTGAGGGCAGAGGCTCCAGAGTCCTAATTACCTGCTTTGCTCTCTGGAGCCCTTTCATTATCACAAGCAGATCAGCAGCTGCTCCACTTTGCAAGGCTGCATGTGGCTCATCTGAACATCAGGTGCTCATCACACCATGGCCTTCTCCACCTGCAGCCTGTTATTGGCCAATGGGGAGAGGACTCTTCAGGTCCCCATTGGGAAACAGGCATCTAGCACACCTGATGCCAGGGTAAGCCTGAGGATGGGCATGGAAGATGAGATCAGGGCCATGAATCCGAGATCCAGACTTTGATTAACTGTTTTTTTCTCAGCAGAAGTAATTGAAGCATGCCAGGTTCTGACATCCACACGCAAAGTGCCAGTCTACTGGGTGGTATCAGGTGCCCACTCTGACTCCACCAGCAATTTGCAGTAGCTTAATGAGCAACCTGTTGCAGGGAGTCATTTAAAAAACCTGATGTATTTTATTTATCAGGAAGAATATTTCCCACTATTCAGCATTTAGCCAGTGGTTGAACTAACAGCTCTGCCTCCTGAATTCCAGCCATAACCCTGTAACCTACCAACTTCAGCTCAAGCTCTGCACAAATGCTGTGGAAAGTGGTGGGCAAGAGCTGGGAGAGAGGAGATTTGCAGTCCAGCCCTTGGCAGCTCCATTGAGTCAGAAGATGGACCAGGGCAGCAGTGAAGAGAGGAAGGAATGGTTTGAAGCTCCAAAGAACATATTTTTTTCGTGATGCATTTTGCTTTCCAAATCTCCCTTGTTACTTACTGCTGTGCAGATGTTCCTCAGATCTGTGAATGGGAGACATGAGGGAACGACAGGGGCCGACATACGACTTCAAATCACAGAATCTCCTAACGCATAAACCCTGCTTCTAGTGACAGGCCTTGAGAATTAGTCTGGCCTGTAATGATGATTTCACCAAATCTGCAGTAATTTCTTGGAGAGGTTCATTCCAGCCCCAGCACATCTAGCGATCTCTCTAGCTCGAGCTGTCTCAGGAGGCTGTGCTGACAATTGCACCAGTGTCTGAGCAACCTGGGAACAAGGAGAGAAAAGGGAATTAAAGGAAGAAGAAAAGAGAACATCCCTACATGGGAAGAGCCCCGAGCTAATTCTCCTCTATCACATGTGCACTGGTGGAGTCACTGACTCTTGTCTCCGCTGGATAGAGTCACAATGAAATTCTTCACATCTCACAAGCTGGTGACTTAGACTGGAATTACACTGGTGGTAGCAACATATTGCAAATTCCTTGGGTGTGATTGGCTCTGAAATTACTCTAAGGGTGTCTATTTTTAGGCTTGCAGTTGCGTTTTCCCACAGCCCTCCACCACCTCCCTCCCACCGCGCTACTACGCAGAGCAGAAATAACCTTTGCTCAGGAAAAGGTTATTTTTCCATCTTCTCAGCTCAGTTTGCATGAGAAATACTATCCGCTACAAAACCCAGACCAGCAATCACACATGTATTTCACAGGCTCGACCGCCCATCCACGTAGTGCTTCCAGCTCGGCTCTGCACACAGGAATCCTCAAGCTAATGAAGCCGTCACTGGTGCTGCCCCCGTGGAGCTGTTAGCAGAAGAGCTGCCCTGCTATTCAAGGGCTCTGGGAAGGATTAAACCCCCCTTCAGTCCCCCCGCTGACCCAGCCAGGCAGCACTGACGCCTCGAGGAGAGGCGAGACGGAGCCCTGCCCAGCTCCACAGCCTCGGAACACATGGAAAAGTCTGGATGGGAGGAGCAGGGAAGAGCTTGTCACAACTGACCAAAGCTGAAGCACTTCAAGATTATTCTTTTCTTTTTTATTTTTTTTTTTAAAAAAAAACACACACATCTGTATTAGGCTTCCCACTAGCAGCAAAACACAACTGCTAATTTGTAATCCAAAAATCAGGGCAGCAGGTTAAGTCTGCCCCTCAGAGCGCCCTGCTTTTTCCCTTTCTCTCCTATACTATTGCTTAGGGCTAAGGTATAATAAGGTCATTTTCTGGACAAAGAAAAGCCATAATCTGCTCTCTTCATCTTCAGTCAGGTTCATCGCTTCGTTCATCATCTTGTTGAACCAGCCCTCTCCAGCTCTGGTTGGAATCTGCTCCGTAAAACTGCAAATGCAGTTTCTAAACCACTGGAAATTCACTGCAGGGTTTGAACTGGTGTATTGGCACCTGCCTGTTTGAAACTCACTAAAGGAAAAAGTTGGACCTGAAATTTTGTGTAATTCAGATTCAAAATTAACCAAGCCCTGAGCTGTAAGGTGTCTAAAATGCCCCTCCCTGCGGTAGAAAGTTGAACTACATTTACGAGCAAACCTGGAAACCTTTCCAAGCATAGGGAATGCTTTCTACAAGTATTTTCTCTTCTAACGTATTTCAGAAAAAAAAAAAACAACAGCATTTTCCTTATACTGTAATATAGCTTACTTATATGAAAATATAGTCCTGAACTGAAATAAAATGTACTAACTTGTGACACCCAACAAATAGGTTTTCCCCTTAAACCTTCCCTATCTTCTGCTCCTTCTAGGCCACTGTTTAATTTCTCCAATACAAACTAATGTGAGCAAGTTTTCTTCATTTCCCAAATGAATCCCATAATAGTAATTCTACAATTACTATTATATACATAATAATTACTATTCTATACATAATATATAGCCAGGAAACAGGAGAACATACCTTGGAATGATGTGTAAGCAAAGAGAAGTAACTAGCAGGACATGCAATCACCTGTACTGATAACATTAATAAGCTGCCTGGAAAAAAGGAGTGAATATCATGATGCTTTTTGCAGAAAATAAATAATTATTCAGGATGAGCAAATTCAGATGTCATGGTTGGAATTAAAGGTGCATCTCAATACATTGAGTAATAAAGAGGGAAAATAAAGTCATGGGTGCAAAATAAAGCGCGTGAAGGGGCCTATTCTTTATCTACACTGTGATGAGCTCTGAAAAAAACTGTCGCTCCTCAGGGAAGAGATTCTGGAAAAACTGAACAGATCTCTGAAAATATTAAATACGCTGTGTCTGCAGGAAATTCCAGAAAGAGGGATCAGCACACTTTAACTAATTCTAACAATACTTGCTATATTCCTGAATTTCCTGCAAAGTTGGACAGTCTGGTTTTGAATGACCTCTTTCACAATCCTTACAGCTCGTCCCAGCGGAGTGGCAGGAATAAGCTGTAGTGAAACAGTATTTTGGTGTGAATAGAGGATAAGAAAAAAAAATATCAAGGTACATTTTAAGTCTTTGCTACTATTCTAGTCCAGAAAGCACAGTACAGGCTATGGCAAATGTTAGGTGACCCAAGGGAAGGGCAATACTGTAAGAAGTTAAGAAATGAGTGGCACTATACAGCACTAGTTGTATGCAGCACACACTGCCTTGGAAAACTTGCGGATTTCTCAGTTCTCCACAAATTACCTAGTAAACACCAGTCACTTCTCAGCCAGTAAAAGCAGCATCTCAAATAACAACTACTAACTAAATTCCCACAGTATTTCGCGTTTTTAAGAAAATCAGCAGGCTTTTTTTTTTTTTTTTACTTCCATTTATTGTTCTTTTGAAGGCACAATGGAAAATCAAGCTTTCTCACGTTTTATTTTCCCCTGCAAAGTAGCAGGGTACAAATTACAATGCATATAATCTACAGTCAGTACATATTTCAGAAGGTCTGCAATTAAATTTTCACCTTTCCTGATGGCAAAAGAGATACATGTATCAGGCAGCAAAAGTAGCTGAGAGAAGAAAAGTCAAAGCAATACTTGCTCAAAAAGCTGTACTGCTGTTTTAAGGCAGGCTTGGTGAAAGATTGACAGGCATTTTCCTCAGGAAATTAAAAGATTTTTGCCTACAGAAATACATTAACATTGATTGAAAAGAGGTTTTTAGAAACTATTTCATCAGTGTAAGATTATATTTGCTTTACACTTTACTTGGTTAGAGAAACATAATTGTTTTTCAGAAGTCAGACTTCTCAGCCATTCCTTCACCTTGCAAGAATGGCACCAAATGAAGGGGAGGTAGTGAGGATTTATCTTCAGGCATCTTTTTTGGGGAAGGAATTACAAATCTGTGCACCACTGAAGTCTCCAGAACCTCTCAGGCTGTGTTCTCAATCAAGACAGCAATGCCTTGTCCACCTCCAATGCAGGCTGACCCAACTGCGTATTTCCCACCGCGACGCCTACACAGAAAAAGTAACAGCAAAAGTGAACTTTATTTATAAGACCACAGCAGATCTCCTGATTTTATGAAAGAGAAGTAGCTATCAACTATTCAAATGTACAATTAAAGATGGGGTTTCAGAATACGTACAATCTTCATTTTCTGAAAAAGTAGGATAAAGCCTGAACTGACATTGAAATATTTCTGCAGAAAAACTGCGTACCCACCTTAATTCATAAACCAGATGAGCTGTGATCCGTGATCCTGAAGCAGCCAGAGGATGACCGACTGCGATGGCACCTCCGTTGACATTAGTTTTTTCGGGGTCAAGGCCCAAGACTTTTTCAACTGCCAGGTACTGGGGCGCAAATGCCTCATTCACCTAAAACACCACAGAAACGACACAACTATTCATGCTTGAGTATCTACAGCAGCTTTCGGCAGCATGTTTGCATACAAGGATGAATGAGGTACACTTCTGGATGTTTGAAGTAAAAAATGCTAAATCCTGTGTTTTTAAAAGTGTATCTGGATGATGTAAAAATTGCCAGTCCAACTCACTGTAAGTTCAAATCCTTGACACAATGCAAATATGTAGCATACTTTATAGAAAAGGTGTGATATATTCTGATGCAGTGTGTTTGTGAAGAGCCTAATTTCTAGGGAAAAAAATGGCATTGTTCAGAAATGGAGGGTTTCAACTAACTGAAATAAAACATTAACAATCCAGCCAACAGGGTAACCATATGTCACCTGAGGATACTTTCTGTTTTGCTGTCAAATGATTTTCAGTTTCCACGTGCCTGACATTTTTGTGCTGCCCATGCAACTGCATGGAAGAAACCGGCTGGACAGGAGGCAGGGATGTGAGTCAGGACAAGCAAGCTCTGGGCACGCAGAAACACCCACGTCGTTATGACAGGCTGCGCATTGCAAGGGGAATGTTCCTGCTCAAAAGGCCAACAAGAGCCTCCCCATTCCTGTTAACCTCCTTACCTCCACCAAATCCATATCCTTCAGGGTCAGTCCTTCCTTCTTCAGGACTTCAGTAATTGCATGTACAGGGCCTATTTGGGAAATGTACAAGCAATTAATAAAAAAAGGAAAAGGCTTTGAAAAATGTCATTCATAGCATAGCCTCATACCTAGTTCATGACCCGTCACTGCACCAATGAATTCTGGATATGCCAATCAGTTGCTGCATTGGGTGGTAAGAAAACTCCTACATTTCCCTCATCTTCCTCCACACAGTGCCAGGCAGATTAGAAGTGTCATCACTGCTGCACAGCTAGGTTGGTAAATCAAGAGGACTGACAGCCACCAAAACAATCTCAAGACTCTTCTGAGCTATTCTGTCCTCCAGGAGTCTTTGCCTCAGCCTCTACCACTTGCTGCCTCCAGATAAACAAAATAAAAACCAAAAGGCAATATTTATAGAGATTGGTGGAATATGTTTATCTTACGGGGATTACTGATTTGGTGTTTTAAATACAACTTACCCATAACTCTTCTAGTTTAAAAAATAAACAAATAAATTCCTTCGACCCAGATCAAACCAACCAACTGAAATAATTAATGTTTTTGGAGAATACTACTGAGTTGGATAATAAAATCATTCCCTGGAAGAAAGCAGACATCTGCAAATCTATTTATTTCACTAAGGGAGTTCATTCTCAAAGCACAGCTACCTAGTGAAAGAGACACTTAGAGAGAATTTGAAAGGGCTACTTAGCTATGCACCTGCAGGACAAAGATATCATGGTGTTAGATTGAAGATAATCATAAAACAAACGAAGCAGGGAATGAAAACAATCCTAAAACACAATTCAAGCATCTCAGTACCCAAAATGGTGCTGGGAATTCAAAAAATGAAAATAATAAAAACAAAGAACTGACCAAAGAGACAGGAAATGCTCTACATGTCCCTGCTTAAGCAGGGGGGTTGGACTAGATGATCTCAGAGATCCCTTCAAACCTCAACCATTCTGTGATTCTGTGAAAATTCAAGAGATGAAAGGGCGCAGTACAAAGTTCAGTGGATCATTAGAAAGATACAGGCTTAACACTAGATCCTTTATGTATCTTGTTATATACTGCTTTGAGCACACCTGTATGTGCAGGAGTAATGGGAGGATCTCCCATAGAAAATATACAAACAACCAAGGAGACTTTAAGCTAATGATTTCTTTCACCAGAAACTGTGAGGAAGGACTCCCTAAAACTATTCATATGTGACAGGGCAGTTGCTCACTCTAAATTCCTGTGTTCTCAGAGCCATTTCGACCATGTCTATGAATCTCATTTGGGCTCTCTGAGGAGCTGCAGACAAGCTGTGGTGTTTAAGAGTTACGATACTAACCATTTCTCCATGTGATTTATGAAGTTTTTAAACAAGCTAAAAGAGTTGCCTGACCTGGGAAGAATGGGCTAGTTTGGAAAGCACAATGGAAGCATGAAGTCTGGGGAGAGAAACCCTCCCTCTACATTTGCTCGAAGAGCTGGGTTAGTAGGATTGCCTGAACAAGAAAGCAAATCCGACAAAGCTTCATTTGCATTTCCACGGCCACATGAAACCAGCCAACAATTGCTTCTCTGGCAGAAGGGAAAAGAAATGCTGGCATACAATGCTGTCTACATACTGAAAATAGGGCAAAAATCCTGGGGTGTCTGGACCAGCTTTGAGGGTTCATTTGCACTTAACAGCTTGATTAGAAAGCATAAAATACGGGGCTAATGAAAAAAGCAGCTGATTCTCCACAATAACACCTCAAGTTGTTTACTGAAATGCATTCTTCGCTGCACAAGTAGTAGCTGAGTAGTGGCTGAAACGGATGCACATAGTAATCAGCAAGCAGTGATAAAGACAACTCAAAGTTATATATATATAATGGGATTTAAAGCTTCTGGGAAAAGCTGCAGGTGGATTGCGGGAGAAAATAGTCTTTTAAAAAGATTGGAAGAGCCCCTACTTCTTTGACTTACTGAATAACAGAGAGGGTAAGGAAAAAAAAACAGTGCATGGCAGAGAGTATAGTCCAGTAACTCGGTGTTAACGCCTATAGGTCAGGCATTGCATATACCCTATAAGCCAAATTATGTAGCTCTCTGTGGTAAAAGGGACACTGATAACAGTGAGGGGGACAGTGTCTCTGAAGTAAGTCCCTGTCAAAGCTATCAGACTCAGCACACTGCAGCTTCCCTTTCTTTTCCTTATAATGCTCAACACAAGAATTCTTTAACATGGCTTCACAAAAATAATGTGCTTTATTGCAGCTTACCGATGCCCATTATGTTAGGGTCACAGCCAGATGCATGATAAGCTACTATCCTTGCCAGTGGAGTGAGACTGTGCTTTTTAAGTGCTGATTCACTGGCAATGATGATTGCTCCACTGCCATCACACACACCCTTGGAATAAAAGAGAAAAGCATTCTTAGTGAAAAAACACTTTAAACTAAATATGCTCCTCTTAAAAATAGAATCTGGCATTTGTTCTTAATTTTTAACATGGAGAAGTATTATTTTACTAAGAAAATAAGCCACAATCTTCTACTCAGTGGACTGTGAAACAAAGGTAAATACAGATATTTACTTACTTTAAATATTTTAAAAAGTAAATCACTTTTTTGCCACTAAAAGTCTCCCTTGCACTGGTAACATCATTTTGTAGACTTGCAAAGACACTACTGATATACTTTTCAGACAGCAGAACTTAGTGTGGCTATCAGTTATTTTAGGCAGGCATTCAGACTATAACCCCAAGCCCATCAATCAACTGGTTAAGATAATGCTTGTAAATGGAATGGCCCCTAGTGACACGTTGCTAAACTCCCGGTCTACACTAAGTAGGAGAAAAATGTGTTTTGGACCACAGGGGATACTAACTGTGGTACAAAGCTGAGCAGCAATATGCCCAGGAAACATATCAGTGATTTTTAAAGTGAATGTTCAGTAACCTCTAAAGGAAAGATGAATAGCTAATTCCAGCAGAGTCCTACACAGTCACAGCAGTCAAAGCTGATGAAAAAAAGTGGATGTCTTGACAAAAGACAGAGACACCACAAAGTATTTTAGGACACAGGTGCAGGCTGAAGGATGCTTCAGCATCCGGGGCTGGAATAGTCACCCATGGGCAAGCTGCGTGCTGCAATTCAGTGGCAAAATTAAAAGGTACTCCTGGCAACAGACAACTCTGACAGCTAAAGATTGCTCAGGATGGGAGAAGTACAGTAATAACAAGCCTGGAGAACCTCATAGGTGACACCTTGCAATCCAAGACTTCGACGTACTCACTGAAGCATTTCCAGCAGTGACTGTTCCATCCTTCTTAAAGACAGTTGGGAGTTTTGCCAGTTGTTCCAGTGTAGTCTGGGGCTGTGGGTGCTCATCCTTTTGCATGCTTTCTTTCCCTTTTTTTGTTTTCACTTCAATTGGTGCCATCTCCTCATTGAAGTAACCAGCATCAGAAGCTACGATCACAAAAAGGAAAGTAAAAGACCTGTGATAAAAATAGTGGATGATTGCCCAGAATGACCAATAATCTCATTTTCATGTATACACAAGTTTCCCTCTATTTGAAACTGGAGTTCAGGAACGCTTCTTTATATTTTGTTTAAAAAGACTATTTGGGGTTTTACAGTTTGTTTTTTTAGAATCTGGTTATAAACCATACAAAACCACTCTCAAAATTATCTGAAAAAAAATCTCTGAAATTACAGTGCTATTTCAGGTTTAAATAACTGACTTATTTTTTTTAAGCACTAGATTTATATTTGCTACCAACCTCTGTGATTTTGTTTTATTCTATTATTCTGTCACTTATCAAAGGGCCAAAAAGGTACAAATTTCACTTGGACAGGAAGAGCGAAAAAATACTGAGCCACATCTTCTCTACTGATAACTGGCATAAGGTACTGGACATCAGCTAAAAATACAGGCCT